GGGGGGGCATAGGCCAACCAAAAGTATTCTCCTCGATTACAATAGTATCGATATATTCTCTTCAGCAGTTAAATAAATAGACGGATACGGAAGAGGAGATAATGTAAACACAACAAAATTTTATTACATTCCTTTGGAATCCTGTAACAGTAGATGAGCTTGGCACTTGTGATAGGCCTAGATCTAGAGTCTAGTAATATGAGATTTATGTGTAAATTTTCAGTCTTACAATATTTATTATTGTCTTAAAACTTTGAGGTCGATGTTCTAACTAACTTCTCAAACAGCTTGACACAGTTTATCCTCTTGAAGTTGAAGTTAGGGATTTGGCTGTGAAGAGAAAACAGTGACAGCGGTCGCTGAGGCCGCTTGACGGGCTTTGAGTATTTAACCTCCTTTGCAAACTTATCACATAATAGCCCGCGAAGAGTCGCCTTGGAGAGCCTACCTTGCAGTGTATAGCGAGTGCTTGCTTTCGCATAATGCAATGAATTTGTAAAGATCTACTCAAATCATCGTTTGATCGTGTTGGGTGTGTCGTGAGGCATCCGCCTTGCCAAGATTCTACTTCAACTTCAGGCTACGGCTAGATCTAGATCTAGATTCTAGGTTGCTCTATTCATGCTTCAAGTTCAGTTGTCAAGGAAGTGATTGATCTAGAAATTATAGAAGGAGGCCTTTAATTCTGTTCTTTTTCCAGATCAGTACTGAACTGACCAGTAGAATCAGGTGAAAGGTGGATTTGATTTACAGACGTAGATGTCTCATTGAGAATTGAGGGTCGTATCGTAAGTTTTTAAAAGAATCTAGGATGGCAGAAGCTCCAGAGGAACCCAGTTTTGGTAAGAAATATATAAAAGCATATTCTCATCCTTAACTCTACCTTGACACAGTGGCTACGTTTACGGCACCCTGAATGTCATTTAATTTGTAAACACCGTTTACAGAGGGTGAAAGCGGCCACCGCAAAATAGCCATGGTCGACAAGGCCTCGCTCGCTCAGCACGCGGAACACGACTTTGATCGTCTTCCCGTGTGCAGATCCGGCAACACTCGATAATTTTAGAATAAAAGTTGTTTGACGAAACAGGGGGAGAAGGCCAAGGGGGGAAGAGGCGTGGGAGGGGGTGATAAAAAAGAAGAAACCAATTTTTATCCATTGTGAGGTCATGAAGTTGTACGATTTTATAATTCGAAATGGGAAAAAAACAGGTGTAATATCAAGTCATTATAATGAATGTTCAGGAACAGTCTATGCCCATTTCCCAAATTTTATGCATGATCAGTTCAGGTTGGTTTTTGGTAGGCAAAGGCACTGAGGCCATTGCACACGCCAAACTGAGCTCTGCTTTGCTTCGAATTTGATCCTGAAGTCCAATATAGGGCCTAGGTCGCATTACTTCCACATACAAAAAGATATGATGTGGAAGAGCGCTTCAGTTTGACAGATTTCATCAGACTGAAAACAATTGTGACCTAAAACATTTAAAATTAAACGTGTTTATTTTGGAGGGTATTGATCAAATTGTGCCAAAATGGTACCCTTTGCCCCTCTGTGAGAGAAAATCTCTCCCTGCCCCC